TCCTTCCCCACCACTGACACACCTCCCCCACTCCCTCTACATCCCATACACACACTGTTGATTGATTGACAGTTGAGAGGCGGGCCGAAAGAGCAGAGGTCAACCCCCGTAAGCACAACTAGGTGAATACAACTAGGTGAATACACTCTTTGCTTCACTGGTCACGTAGTTCAACTCATCACCCATCCATCCATCCATCCCTCCCTCCATCCACCCATCCATCCCTCCCTCCATCCACCCATCCATCCCTCCATCCATCCATCCTTCCATCTATCCATCTCTCCATCCATCCATCCTTCCATCCCTTCATCCATCCCTCCATCCATCTCTCAAACCATCCATCAATCCATCCATCAATCCATCCATCAATCCATCCATCAATCCATCCATTCATCCATCCATCCATCCCTCAATCCATCCCTCCATCCATCCATCATCCTTCTATCCATCATCCATCCATCCTTCCATCCATCATCCTTCTATCCATTCATCCATCCATCCTTCCATCCATCCTTCAATCCATCCATCCAATCCATCCCTTCATCCATCCATTCTTCCATCGCTTCCTCCTTCCATCCATCCCTCAATCCATCCTTCCATCCCTCCATACCTCCCCATTCTCTTCCCCCTACCTGCCTACCTTCCTGCCTCCCTCCCTCCCTCCCTGCCTGCCTGCCTACCTTCCTGCCTGCTTCCCTCCCTTCCTCCCTCCCTGCCTACCTTCCTGCCTGCCTGCCTCCCTTCCTCCCTCCCTCCCTCCCTGCCTGCCTACCTTCCTGCCTGCCTCCCTCCCTTCCTCCCTCCCTGCCTACCTTCCTCCCTCCCTTCCTACCTTCCTGCCTGCCTCCCTCCCTTCCTCCCTGCCTGCCTCCCTCCCTCCCTTCCTGCCTGCCTGCCTCCCTCCCTCCCTGCCTACCTTCCTGCCTGCCTCCCTTCCTCCCTCCCTGCCTACCTTCCTGCCTGCCTCCCTCCCTTCCTGCCTACCTACCTTCCTCCCTCCCTGCCTGCCTCCCTCCCTTCCTCCCTCCCTGCCTCCCTTCCTCCCTCCCTGCCTACCTTCCTGCCTCCCTGCCTACCTACCTTCCTCCCTCCCTTCCTGCCTGCCTCCCTTCCTGCCTGCCTGCCTCCCTCCCTTCCTCCCTCCCTGCCTACCTTCCTGCCTCCCTCCCTGCCTACCTTCCTGCCTACCTTCCTGCCTGCCTCCCTCCTTCCTCCCTCCCTGCCTACCTTCCTCCCTCCCTGCCTACCTTCCTGCCTGCCTGCCTACCTTCCTGCCTGCCTGCCTACCTTCCTGCCTGCCTCCCTCCCTTCCTTCCTTCCTGCCTACCTTCCTGCCTGCCTGCCTCCCTCCCTTCCTGCCTACCTTCCTGCCTGCCTCCCTCCCTTCCTGCCTGCCTCCCTGCCTGCCTCCCTCCCTTCCTGCCTACCTTCCTGCCTCCCTGCCTACCTACCTTCTTCCCTCCCTTCCTGCCTCCCTTCCTGCCTGCCTCCCTCCCTTCCTCCTTCCCTGCCTACCTTCCTGCCTCCCTCCCTTCCTCCCTCCCTGCCTACCTCCCTGCCTACCTTCCTGCCTGCCTCCCTCCCTTCCTCCCTCCCTGCCTACCTTCCTGCCTGCCTCCCTCCCTTCCTCCCTCCCTGCCTACCTTCCTGCCTGCCTCCCTCCCTTCCTCCCTCCCTGCCTACCTTCCTGCCTGCCTTCCTCCCTCCCTGCCTACCTTCCTGCCTGCCTACCTTCCTCCCTCCCTGCCTACCTTCCTGCCTGCCTGCCTCCCTCCCTTCCTGCCTACCTTCCTGCCTGCCTCCCTCCCTTCCTGCCTGCCTCCCCTGCCTACCTTCCTGCCTACCTTCCTGCCTGCCTCCCTCCCTTCCTTCCTTCCTCCCCTCCCTCCTGCCTCCCTCCCTCCCTCCCTCCCTCTGCCTGCCTACCTTCCTGCCTGCCTACCTTCCTGCCTGCCTACCTTCCTGCCTGCCTACATTTCAGCCTCTCCCTCCCTGCCTACCTCTGAGTCTCTTCCTCCCTGCCCGCCTGCCCACTTTGCCTGCCCATCCACCCACCAGTCAGCCATCACTGACACAATGAGTGCATTTGGAGCTGACATGGTGCACAGATGTTCCTTGATTGAGCAGGTATGTCCAACAAAGCCACAGAATGAACACTCCAGCCTCATGACAAAACAATGTGCCGTGAATCTGTGACATCACAGGGGTAGAAGGCACTAGAGTATCTGGAGAGCACTGGTCACAAAATCCCAGCCCAGAGACGACGTGTCCGTGAACACACCGAGCGAGGGCACGGGTTGGCGCCAAGGCAATGAACCCTGAAAAACCTGAAAAGGAAGTCGGTGATACAGCAACTGACACAAGGCCCCTGGTGGACAAACCCAGCAATTGCGAGAGAGGTGGAAGGGATGGCACCAAAAAAAAAAACAGAACAGCCGATGAAGCCAAACCCGACCCGGCAGGTAGACCATCATCGCAAAGTTCAGGCTCCCACACAAACCCATGAGTACCCGCCGAGTTACCTGGAATACCCCCCAGAAACAGGCAAAGGCGGGACTGCAGCCGAGGGAGAGACTCCGGAGGGAAAGACAAGGAAGTGGTCCGAGTGCCCCAAACAAAACCCAGCCAAGTCCGAACCTGGGAGGGAACCAAATGGGACTTCCTCCAGTTCACCAAGAACCTGACCCCGGCGAGCTGAAAAAGAACCAAATTCCTTGCGAGCAGACAAGCGGACTGGCTGGGAGCCCAGACCAGCCAGTCGTCGAGGTAGGCCAACACCTAAACATCTAAGAGATGCAGATAGGCCACCACGACCTGAGTAAGGCATGTGAAAATGCGAGGTGCCAGGTTCAACCCAAATGGGAGACAAGTGGTAACTTTGATGCCCCACAACAAAACCGAGCCAATCCCAGATTCACCCCGGATGAATCAGGACGTGCCAATACGCATTCTGGGGGTTCAGGGACACCATCCAAGTGCCTGGCTCCAACAGAAGCCGGACCTGGGACAGTAGTCATCCGAAAGGAGGGGTAATAAACCCAGGATTTCGGACAAGACAAGTCTAGAATGTACCGCAGGTCCGCACAGTCCCGTTTCTGAACTGGGAACAGATGGGAAACCCATCTGAGAGACATCGTCTTTTCGACCGCACCCAAGCACACCTACTCCAAAACAAACCCGACAGAGCGCAGGAGAAGAGGCCTATCCCGTGAGCCCCGAACTCCCCAAAGGAGTCATGGCTACCCAACACCACCGCAGGCCGTCGGAAACGACCCGAAAAGCCCTCAAATCATAGGACCAGGCGTGAGCGAACAGAGCAAGCCTTCCCCCCATCACCCCGTTAATGGGACGAACCGCAAAAGGGCCGACATCCCTTACAAGAGCCCAAGCTCCGCACAGAACGAACACTGCGCCGACCAGACGAAGACGACACCGGCCCCAAAACTGGCACCAGTGGCCTACCACGATGAGCGAAACCCCGAGCCCTGGCACGACCTCTCCGGGAAATCTCCTACTCCGGGGACCCTCAGAGAACCAGCAAATCGGACATCGGATGACAGCTAGCTGAAGCCGCCTGCAGATACTGCGCCACCGCAGAATCAGCAAACAGCAAGGGACAAAAAGGCGGAGACATTCAAAGAGCCAGGGACCAATCAGATTCCAAGGAGGAAGCAAGCACCACCTGCCGACACACAGGCAGGGAGGCATAAAACAGTGATACCGCATCCCGCAGGAGCGGCGCAAAATAGTTTCAACAAGGCTGATGACGAACACGTCACCGAGCCCCAAGGCGCTAGACACAGGAACGGCCCCAAGCGCCTCCACATCCTCCTCAAGCCAGTTGGCAGACAGCTCCAGGAGGGAAAAGAAATGCAAAGCTGAAGCCAGCAGGCCACGAGCACGCAAATCCTCAGTAACCAGTGCAGCCAAAAGGGAGGGAATCTGTATGTGAAGCTGCATGACACCCACATCCCGAGGAAGGACAGGAGCGAACAAGCACTCATAGAGGTGCTCAAACTCGCCCCCAGGAAAACCTGGACCACCGTCAATGACTCACGCCACTCAAGCATTCAGAAACAACAGAACGTATGCTTCGCCTCCAAAAAAAAACAGGACAGTCTGCCAGCCAGAACGACTCTGGAACCTTGTAATGAATCCAGTAGTGAAACGAAGACCCAAACCTGAATGTAGACGGATCCATAAAAGAGGCGTAATCTGGGTCATGCAGGAGGTAAGCTGCAAAGGCCTTCCGCACCATAGGAGGTGGGATGTGGGATGCAAAAGGGCGAAAACCTCCGGAAAGATGGGACCAAAGCACCCGAAGGGACACGGAACTGAACCTGGGGAAGGGCAGACACCAAATCTAATTCATACACAGAAGGGGAGGGGGTAACCCCACTCCTTGTAACAGTAAGCCCTACTCAGAGGGTAGAAAAACCCAGGCGGGGTCCGACGGGGCCCAAGGCCCATCAAGTCAGCCCCTCCCTCGCCCCGGGAACCACCACATCAGGTCCCCCTGCTTGATGGGGTTCTGGGATTTGTTCTACTTCTCAAGCCCAGCCCAAGGCCAGGCTTGACTTGTGAGAGTTTTGTCCACTAGGCTGTTGCTTGGAGCGACCCACAGGCCCACATATCCACCACAGCCCGGTTGGTCCAGTACTCCTTGGAGAAAATGATCTAGTTTTCTCTTGAAGATGTCCGCCTCTTATAGTTCTTACACTTACGACAATCATTTATATTTATATGAAGGTGCAATCATTACTAATTTATAATCACCCACAGGGTTCACATTACAATTATATAACTACAAATATAATTCAATTAAAAATTTCACAGTACAATACCAATGACCAAATAGCATTATCTATTATAAGTTATCAATTATATATAGTGTAGTGTATATTAAATTATTCAATATGAAACCCACACAGACTAAGCAGAATATACATAAATCATAGCAGAATAAAATCAATAAATCATTATAGTGTAGGTGTACTAACCTTGCTGTGGTTGTTGCTGAGGATATCCTGGCCTCATTGGTCCAATCATCTGCATGTTACCCTGGCTGCCCTGCATCATAATCTGGCGCCATTCAGGTCTTGAAGGAGGCATCTGTGTTCCAATATTGAGTCCACCAGGTCCTGGGCCAATGTTAACATTAGGTGGTCGAGGTCTTTGTAACATGCCACCAGTGGCCATGGGTGTGCGACTAACCATACCCATGGTACCGGCTGTGCTGACTTGACCTAGGCTATTACTCATGTTACTAGCTGATATAGTCCCCACACTCATGGTAGGCATGGAAGCCCCAGTAATGGTACTACTTGGCATACTAGATGTGGGATTCATGGTTGTAGTTGGTACCATACCAGGCTTCATGGTGGGCATATTAGGGGGTAATGTTTGCTGTGTCATACCACCCATCATTTGACTTGTCCCCATATTGACCATAGGGCCACTAACCATACCTGGTCTCATATTTGGTCGCATGCCTTGGTAGCTCATCTGACCCATATTTTGACCCATCTGGGACATTGGCTGGGGCATAGGTTGACCCATCATCTGTTGCTGCTGCTGCAATAGTGTAACTTGCCGATATTCGGGCGGTGGTGGACGAGACATCATCTGGCCAGTCTGACCGACCATCTGACCCCCTGCTGGAGTCACATGTCGCATCATGGTGCCTGGGCCCATCATCTGTTGGCCAGGATATCGTGGTGGTTGTGGCTGGCTCATAGCATACTGCCCACTCATCTGGCCCTGGTAGAACATCTCATTACTCATTTTGCCATCTGCTCCCATCTGACCACCCAGCTGTCAGAGAAGGACAGGTAACCCAGTCTAGATTAGTAGTAAAAGCATTCTAACCCCCCAACCCCTAAATAAAACTTCCAAATTATACCAAAAACAGATGTACATACATCATCACTATACTGCTTCCAACTTTAATGGGAAGGGAAATCATATACAGTATTTATTAACTTTGTTTGCACATATATATGTAGAAACCAGCAACTAACACAATCATCAAACCAATGTCTACCTAAATGCCAAGAATGCACTGGCTACCCCCATTTTGCCCTAACAGGTGACAAAAAAACAACGTTAAATGTAATGAAACGCCATTTACTCGGTGAGACCCGGAGGCTCCTTGGAGCTGTCCGGGCTGATATGAATGTATTAGTCCCTGGCATCAGTCAATATGCATGGAGTTCTAGACCTACCGAGGACCAAGAACCTAGCCCCCTTAGAGAGGCACGAGGAGCAATGGCCTATAGAAACTCATGTGGTTGGAAGCATTCTATGTCTACCATCTACTGGGTCAGGCACCCAGAAAGGTAAATGCCTCAAAACAAACCCCTATTCTGGTTAAAATATTGTTACTGAAAGCCAAACTAGTGGACAGAACTCCCTAATTGAAAACAAGCAAACGAGCACGACGTCACCGGGCCGCTGTCTGCCCAACTTTCCCCCCTCCTCTCCCCGGGAGGGAAAAGGGGAGCCCCAGACTACCGTGTCGGCTATCCACCCTGCAGTTCTTAGGCTGGATGTCAAAATATGTGAAAAACCCGTGCTGACTGGATGCCACGACACGCCGAGAACAGCGAAGAGCTGCATCCGAACAGCAAGGAAGCACCCCCGGCCTGACCAACCAAGCAGTAACCCAAGGACCAAACGGAGGAGAAGAAAATAGACCACCTGGGCCAATGACCAGAATGGCACAGGAACGCAAGTGCAGGCCAGAGGTGAAACAACCCCCAAGACAACAAGCGGAATGAAGCAGAAGGAACAGCAACACTGAACGCAAGCTAGAGCAGTTCCGCCAGTGCCACCCAAGACGAGGCGACAGTACACGGTACCAGAAGACGGTCCCAGAACAACCTCGAAGGGAAAGACAAGACAACCCTATCAGAGACCGAAGGATCCTTCACAGTGATAGGAAAACTAGAAGGACCGCCAGGAAACACACACCGCCGCCGAGACGAAGCACGCAGGTGGGAGACTAACAAGGAAGCCACCAGTCCCCACACAAGCGACGAGAAACAAGAGACAAAAACCCGAGACGTGAAGACTCGAGGAGAGGAACGAACCAGCACTGTACAGGACGGGACCGACCCGCAAAAAGAGGCAGAATTGCGGGAAGACCCACAGGATCGAAACTGAAGAAAGCAGCAGGGCCCGCCAAGGAAGGCAAAAACCAAAAGAAATGACCACCAGGGAACCAGGAACCCAACCCCAGCGAGCCAAAAGAAACCAGCCCGAGCAAGCAAAAATGCCCTGTCTGGGAGGACCCCTTCCCAGGACCCCTGAAGGACCAAAAAGGCCAAACACTGAAGAGCCAGGGCCCAGGCAGAGGCCAACGAGGAAAGCGGGCATCACGAAGAAAAGCGCGAGACGCGAAGCGAAAAACAGCGACCCCCGCAACCCAAAGGAGCAGAGCAACTAGCTCCAGCAGGGAAGAACGATGCACGCGTCTCCAAGGGATACCTGAGGAGAACTACGCAGGACGTGAACCGCAGGAAAACAAAAACATACAGCTCGGAAAAGGAACAAGGAAAAGCCGGAGCCAGGATCGGAATCCCAGGTACCTGTCCCAAAAAGGGAACCAGAGGGCAGGAGCAGTGGACCGGAAGGCCACAACCCCCCCACAGACAATGCAACGCAGAAGCCTGCAGTGAGGCACAAAGAAAAAGTGAAAGAACTCTGTACCAAAACCGAGCACTGGGGCAGTCCAAAAGCATAAAACTGAAAATGGACAGAGGCCCACCTCAGCACCCAAAAACAGTATAGCCAAGAAGCACCAACACAGAAGCACAGCCATGTGTGTAGCTTCGGAGGAATAAAACAAAAACAAACAAGAAACAAACCCGAATACGGACCAAGTAGCAGCCAGGAACGCAATGTACACGACCAACCACAAAGTGTGTAGTGGGAGGTCGCAAATACACAGAGAGACACCATGGATATCAGGGTGCAGCCAGACACTGAAGATAGGCAAGGAAGGAGGGTCCAGAGCAGAGACCAAGCAAAGAAGGAGGACACAGAAGCATGGACCGAGGGAACGAAGCTGTGCCCAAAAGACCCCGGTGCCAAAAACTAAACAAAAAGCATCGAAATGCGAGGCAGCGCCCCACGGGACAATGAAGAACAAGATACATGGACAAAAAGCTACACTCATGGCGTCCAAGTAAAACACACAACACTAAACAACCATGACAGGAGTCAGCGACGCAACCCTGTCAAGCAGAGAAGTGACAGAGTTAGAAAAAACGGAGTACTGAACATGGGGGGGGGGGGGGGGGGGGAGTACATGCACAAGGGGACACAGGAGGAAGCGGAGAACCTCAATGAGCTACAAAGACATTAACCCTTAAACTGCTCAACACGTCATATGACGTGTTAAGTAACTTACCGAAAAAGTGCGCATCACGTCATATGACGTGTTGGAGTACTATGCAAAATTTAAACGGCCCGCGGATACACAGGGTTCACCACACCTTCATCAGGGCTCTTCTAAACAGACGTCATTTTAAAAAAAAATCGTGGGCCAAACTCCCGGGTGTTAGGGGCCTCAGTATTAAGTGAGCTACTAAGCCTGGCGCACGCAGCACGAGCTCACAGCACTGCTGTTCAGCTTGTGACCACAGCATCACCTAAAAATGCCATAATACTGTATACTTGTTCATGCTATTATGTAGCGATGATATTATTACAGAAGACCCCTGACTGTGATAAAACTGACCAGGGTTCTGATAATAGCAGGATTGTGGTGATATTTAGTGCTGTGCGCTATGGAGGGAGGAGTAATGCTGTGGGAGGGAGGGTGGTGGCGATGTCTTCTGACTGTGTGTGGCCACCTTTTATTGACTGCACTCACCATACCAGCTTAGTGGTTCGCTATGGTGAACACAAATGTAGATACTTATATATAACATGTGTATAGAGGGTATAAACAGCAAGAGTAGGAGATTGGGAGCTGTCATTTTGGTGAGGGCGGTGCCGTCGTCTGCATGACGCCACCGTGCAGACGACGGTGTTGTTTACTGGTTACCACGATGGTCTTTGGGCTCCATACCAGTTTACTTGTACAAGTATGGTGAATAAAACAGGTAGATATTTATATATAATGTGTGTATATAGCGTAATAACACCACAAACAGTATTGTTGGAGGAGAAATATTAGTGCGTCTGGCCTTGAGGGTGGCAGCCAGCTGACTATGAGGTCCTACGTCTTTGTGCCTTTACTCACCATACAAGCTTAGATGTACAGTTATGGTGAACAAAACATGTAAATACTTATATATAACGTCTGTATATAAAAGCAAAAACAGTATGGTGGGTGGAGAATGGTGGCAAGTCAGGTCTATCTATCTATCTATCAGATAATCTATCCATATCTACCCAAAAAAAGCACTAACGATGCACTTATTAGTATGCTTAACTTGATTCATACAGCTCTTGATAAAAATGAGTTCCCTGTTGGGTTATTTGTGGACCTGTGTAAAGCTTTTGACACTGTCAACCACCAAAACCTTCTTCTTAAATTACATCATTATGGAGTCAGAGGACACTCCCTGCAATACCTCAAATCCTACCTTACTGACAGGCTCCAGTATGTTTCTGTGAATAATACAATTTCTCCCACCCTACCCATCAACATTGGTGTTCCTCAGGGCAGCATACTTGGCCCTCTCCTCTTTCTCATCTACATTAATGACCTTCCAAATGCCTCCCTACACTTCAAACCAATTCTATTTGATGACGACACAACTTTCATTTACTCCAGTCCTGACCCCCTTGCTCTAAATGCCACAGTAAATACTGAGCTAAATAAAGTCCATCTTTGGCTAACTGCCAACAAACTCACCCTTACCATTGACAAAACTTTCTATATTCTGTTTGGCAATAAATCCTCTAATCAAATAAATCTCAAAATAAACAATACCCAAATTTGTAACAAATTAGATGGCAAATTCCTTGGCATTCTCATTGACCACAAGCTGAATTTCCAGGGACACATTCTAAATATATCAAAAAAAGTTTCAAAAACTGTTGGCATTCTCTCTAAGATCAGATATTATGTATCCCGCCCTGCCCTGGTGACTCTCTATTACTCCCTTATCTATCCATATCTCAACTATGGTATTTGTGCTTGGGGCTCTACTACCCAAAATCATTTACGTCCTCTAATTATTCAACACAAAGCTGCTATTAGGACAATATCCAACTCTGGCCCCAGACATCACTCGGTACCCCTACTCAAATCTCTGAATATGTTAGACATTAAGTCACTGCACATTCTCTCATGTGTATTATACATATATAAAACGCTAAACTGTAATGCCAATCCTGACCTCAAAAGCTTCATAGAAGGTTGTAACAGAACCCATGAGCACCACACCAGAAATAAACACAGTTTTGATATTCCTAGAGTACGACTTAATCAAACTAGAAATGCTCTACAAATCAAGGGACCCAGATTGTGGAATGACCTTCCCAACCATGTTAAAGACAGTACCTCTCTCAACCAGTTTAAGATAAAAACGAAGCTATTCCTAATAAATTCCCTGTAACCTACCTTACCCCTCTATTGTCAACCAATGTCTGTTTTTTTAAAGAGCGCTGTGGTGGTGGTGGCTCACCACCACCACCACTCCCAACATCACCACCACCACCACCACTCCCAACACCACCACCACCACTCCCAACATCACCACCACCACTCCCAACACCACCACCACCACCACCACTCC